GGCGGCGGGGGCTGCGCTCCGGCAGGACCGGCCGTTGGGCCCGTTGGTGGCTGTGAGGACAGCGGGGGTTCGCTTGAAAACTCAGCCCAGGGGGTGCGTGTTGGTAAGGAAAGGCCAAGCCGGAGTGTAAGGCAGTGGGGAGGAGCAGGATTGAGGGACTGGTGTGAGAGAAGTGTGCCGAGAGGAGGGTTTACTCCTCATTAATTTATTCTCTCTGAAAACGTGTTTAGGTTTAGTGATGTTCAAAAATAAAAAGGGCTGTTAGTTAGGAGATGTAAACTACAGAGACTTTAAATTTACTGAGTCGCTCTAGACTCAGGACTGTAAATTAAGAGAATGCACCTAATGTAACATATTTTTGGAAAATACATAATACGAGGACTCCGAGTCTTTCTCGGAAAGTGTACTCCCGTGAGCTTGGGGAGTGAACAACCTGCAGGAACTGGAAACAGGCTGAGCGATGATCCGTGTTAGGATATTGCAGCAAACCTTACTGGGATGAGTCTGTGAGAAGAGGAACGCAGCTTGTGCAAGAGTGAGCAGGGCGAAAATAAAATTGAACTAGGATCATTTAAGGGAAATGTTTAAAACAGGCTGAGATCCTTTTGTAGCTTTCTCGTGACTAGATGTGCTGCATTTGCAGGAGCTACTTGACTAGCAGCGCTTTCTCTAGCTGATGGTGACACTGTTTTTCTGTATGTCCATGGCTTAGACTCTGTTATGCTTTCTCCTTCCTTCCCCAACTTTTTTACTTTCTGCCATCATGTCAGTTACTGTTGCTGGTAGATTGGATGCGGTTGCTTTTTTATGCACCTCAGCTGGCTTTGGCCGCTCCTGCATGATTGATTGCCAAGGTTTTACAGCTTCTTGAAGTATTGAAGGCAGGGTTGAATTCTGCCTAGATTGTGGCTTTCCTAATGTCTCCTGAATGTTTTGCCAACAGTTTAAACAGCATTCCGACCATTCTCAGCCATCCTTCTCCTCCTGTTGTTTGTTGAGGTTGTTTATGGCTTGCCAGTAAGGAGATGACTCAGAGGTTAAAGATCCGTTGTCTTTTTTACCTAATACCCCCAAGACTGTGACCAAATAAAGTTTGTTCTTCATAACCTCAGCTGACAGGAGGACAGAATAGAATAACAGAAACAGAGCAAAACAATTCAGAAGGCTATGGATTTATTCCATGTACTGGCTTTTGAGGTATGGGAAAAAAATACTTCAGCCTTACACTTTTTTCCTAGTGGAAGACAAGGAGTATATAAAATGTAGGCAAGACCTTGCAAGAAATGTAGTTGCTACAGCAGATAAATACTAGTTGTCATGAATTCATGATTCCCTATTGAGTTTTATGCTAATATTTATTTTAAAGCCCTAAACTTTTGATTATTTAATCTTGTCATTGGAAGAGAATTTCCATGTTCATGTCTTTAGGATATGTTTCTAGTTCTTGTGGTTCCAGAGAGAGAAAAAAAATCCACATTCACCTTAGTGTTTCAGAAATAAACAGCGAAAATACCAAGGATCGCTAACCTGCTAAACGTAGGTGTTAAACTAACTACACAACTGAATATCTAAAACCTTTTAAGGTTAAAAGAGTGAGAATGTTGTGTATAAAGCTTTCTCCTGATGTCAGATATGCAACAATCTCCGTTTTCAGTCTTCTTTTGCAACCATGAGAGCTAGAAACTCAAAATAGTCTTTTTAAATAATTTGAGCTGAACACCAGATAATGCTGACCCAATCTTCCTCTGCCCAGGGCAAGTCTTCCTCTCTCCAGGCCTCTTCTCTTGTCCCTAGGGCCTGGGGCTCTAAAGGGCTGCCCTTGGTAAACCCCGAAGCAAAGAAGGCATTCAGCAACTCTGCTTTTTCTGTGTCTTTCGTAACCAGGGTGCCCATCCCATTCACCAGTGGAGATGGTGCGGAGGAAATGTATTAGCTATTCATGGTTGTTTCAATAAACACAGCGTTGCTTAAAGATCTTTTGAGTCTATGAAGTTTTCTTGTGCCTTTGTTTATGTTTATTTTTCCTGCCCTAAGCTCTTCAGAAGTTAAATGTTCTGATAAACTGGTCTGGATCAGTTCTCTGTTAGAGAAATAATTTGTTGACAAATTTATGCCTTGGTCTAGGACTGAGCTGAAAGTTTGTGTTTGGTGCCTTTTCAAACTTTAAAGATAAGTACTGTGATTCTCATCTTCAATATGGACAGTTTTTAGAACAATATTCAAAAATTTCAAGCCTGTTTTTATTTAAAAAGTAATTGCTCAACATTAATAATTCACCACTACGTAACTATTGTGATGGAAGGAATAGCAGTCTCTAATTCAATTCTAGTGCTTTCTGTAAAGAATAAAAAATAATAAAAAAAAAGTTGTGTCTTTGAACAGCTCCAGTTTGTGATTAGCTGCACAGTCTGGAAGCTTGGCAGGAAAGAATCTTTGGATTAGCCTTTTATTGTCATTATAAAAATAAATGTTTAACATTGGCAGAATTGTAAACTGTCAAACCCCATAATTTTCCCATGTACTTTGTTTTGTAGAGATTTTCATCTGCCATTTTGTAGGGAATTCAGAGTCCGAATAGGTCATGGAAAACGTGAACCTTCCTCTTCTCTTTTAAAAAGCCTGTGGAGAATGAAACCAGGCAAGTAATAGATTTGGCTAGTACCTTGTTTCCCGTACTCATTATAATCTCTGCTCTTCGCTGTCCTGCTAATAACCAATGCCTCTTGCTTCACAACAAACCAGCTGGAAAGAGAATCTAGGATGAATACACCAACCACCTGTGAAGTTACATTAAGAAAAAGTTCCTATTTGTTTTCCATTGTTTATCCTTCTAAAACAGCACTTGTAAAAACAACTCTGTATAAAGAAAAAAAAATCTGGAATATCCTGACAATCTCATGTCTGTAAATACAGTAATTATTACAAAACTTAATCAAACCTAATAATCTGTACAGTACTGATGGCATCAGAGACTTCTGAATTTTTTCCGGCTTTTATTCCCTGAATATTTGTTCCTCTAAATCAAAGATGCTAAACTTACTGATGGGGAAATTTCAGAAGAAGACTGAAGAGAAGGCAGCAAGCTTTTACACATCAGTCTGACACGTTCCCCAATTGTCACAAAGGTGTCAAGAAGCTCTAGAGCTAACACAGCCGCAGGGGCTGGTGCAGGTGCT